CAGGCAGCAGCAGCAGCAGCAGCAGCAGCAGCAGCAGCAGCAGCAGCAGCAGCAGCAGCAGCAGCAGCAGCAGCAGCAGCAGCAGCAGCAGCAGCAGCAGCAGCAGCAGCAGCAGCAGCAGCAGCAGCAGCAGCAGCAGTAAGAGCAGGAAGGCTGCCCTAGTCCGCCGCCGACAGTAGCAGTAGGACGGGCTTGACTGTAGAGGACGGAGGGGAGGGCTGCTGAAGTATGGACGTTGCCGGGTCAGGATCCCAATGATCGCGCTGGCATGCGACTTCCGGGAGCTGAGGTAAGGGGGGAGAGGAGGAGGGAGCGAGACTGAGAGAGCCGGGCAGAGAGAGGGAGTTCAACCTTACGGACAAGATGGGACAAGAGCTGTGCGGGAGGAACGGGAAGGTAAGAGAGGAGGGGAGAGGAGGAGGAGGAGGAGGAGGAGGAGGAGGCGAGATCCAGGGAACAGATCAAGGATGAGAGATGGTGAGGAAATGAAGCGAATAGAAAGGGGAGAAGGGGAATGAGGTAGCAGGTGAAGGTTCTTATAAGGCTGTAGGCCCTCAAGCTTGTTGTCAAGCTCAATTGTCAAGTTGAAGAAGAAGAGGTATTTCTCCTCCTCCTCCTCCTCCTCCTCCTCCTCCTCCTCCTCTTCCTCGCTCTCGCCTCCCCTCTCCTTCCCCCCCCTTCATCTTCTCTAGTGCCTCACTAGCAGCAGCAGAAGCAGCAGCTGCTGCGGTGGACTTCTCTTGAATCTCCTCCTCCTCCTCAGAGACTTGAAGCTGCCTTCGATGCAACGAGGACAGACATGTCCTCCTTGTCCGCCGACAGCGGCCTGAGGCAGCTGTCTCCTCCTCCTCCTGTTCCCAACTTGACAACAGGTGCCAGAATTTCTTGTCTCTCTGCCACCCTCATCATCCTCCTCTGCTTCTACCTCTACCTCTCCTCCCTCCTCTTCCTCTGCCAAACCCACCTGTGTCTTCCTCCTCTACCTCCTCTCCTTCTTTTCCTCCTCCTCCCCTGACTCCCTCCTTCTCAGCTACTCCCTCCGACTCTCCCGCCGGCACTCTTCTCGTCTCCCCCCTCGCCATCCGCAACCTCCCCAAGACCGATCGCTTCGGCCGCTGCGATCCCTTCGTGAGTACTACCAGCTCGAGGCCACCGCGAGCGCGAGGAAGAGCCGCAGGAGACAAGGAGGCGATGCAGGGCGAGGGAGTGGAGGATGGGAGAGGAGGGGAGGAGGAGGGACAGACGAGAAGAGGGGGAGAGGGAGAGGACGAGACTCACGAGGAGGACGAGGAACGAAGGAGAAGAGAAGAAGGCGGCGGCAGACGTCAAGGAGGAGCAGGAGGAGCAGGAGGAGCAGGTTGTGGTGGCTGATGTGGAGGTGGCAGATGGAGGTCTGGCTCAACGACTCCGTGCAGCTGACGAGCGTGAAGAAGAACACGTGAGAGTCGCGAGGAGAGACGAGACGCGCGGGAGCGAGGGAGGAGACGCGAGGACGAGGAGGCTAGGAGGGTCTGCAGTGGCGCTGGAGGGAGGGAGGGAGAGAGATTGAGAGCCAAGGGATGGAGGAGGCGAAGAGAAGGATCCATATCAATCACGAGCAGAGCAGAGCAGAGCAGAGCAGAGCAGAGCAGAGCAGAGCAGGGCAGAGCAGAGCAGAGCAGAGCAGAGCAGAGCAGAGCAGAGCAGAGCAGGCAGGCA